TCAAAGCCCTAAATTCTTTGGCACTCAGCCTTTCTTATGGTCCAACTTTCACAGCCATCCATTGCAACTGGGAAAACCATAGCCTTGACCATTGTGATAGGAATGTGTTAAGTCAACAACAGAGTTCCATGTGCAAATCTGAACCTCCAAAGTCTTGGACTCCTGGGTTTATATCATCTAGCATTGCAAGCCTAAATATTTATTTATATGCACAACAATGTGAAGTCACGATTGCTGGTTTTTAGTTGGCATTGGCTTCATACGCATCACGTTCTTCCCAAGAACTTGGAATGTCACACCATCTCAGGGTTAGTATATGTGCAGACTACAGCGGTGTGACTTTTTGCCACAGACAGAAGTTGTGTTAATGCACAGGTTTTCAAAGTCCAAGGTTTTTTGATATTTTGGTTTTTGGAGAAACACTGGGACCATCACAGCCGGTTTATGCCACAATCTTTCCACTTTGATTTTCAGATCTTGATACTTTCTGACCTTCTCCAATTCTTTGTTTACTGTCTCCTGATCATCGATTAACACATCGATTAACTACACTTCCTTCAGTTCAGCCAGTTATATCTGGTGCGTTCTCAGTCTACATTTAGAAATTCCTAGATTTTTTAACTTGTTCATTTTTCAACTACTTTTTTAATTTGTATGTTCTCACCAGTTTTTTGGTTATTGGTCTGTGATAATTTTTATAGATGTTCCAATGAAGCATTTTGGCATCTGTGTCATCCTGGTGTTTTCTTTATCATTGTTATTAATGTATGTAGAGGCCACAATACAAAAATATATGCAGATCTCCATTTAAAAGGGACATTTAGAAGGTACTCTGTCCCTGAACAGATCAATCTTACACAGATAATCCCTGACTTACAACAGTTCACTTAGTGACCATTTTAAGTTACAACTCCACTGAAAAAAGTTATTGATGACCATTTTTCACACCATTGCAGCATCCCTATGATCATGTGATTTCCATTCAGATGCTTGAAAACTGACTCAAATTTATGACAGTTGCAGTGTTCCAGGATCATGTGATCACCCTCTGACAAGCAAATTCAAGGGGGACATCAGATTCACTTAACAACCATGTTACTAACTAGCTGGATACCCATGCTTTGTGATGAAACTATGTGATCAGGCAATGCAGGAGAAATCCAGTTCAATCCATTGGCTCATTGGTGGTCAGTGATTGAAACACATAAGAGAATATCGCTCCTGCCACCTTGAATCCAGAGCAGTTCCATAGGTGGAAGGTGTAGACATATTGGTGAGATACTGACGTTTAGTACTATAAGGGGCCCCAGACTGCTCTTGAGTGAAGGAATTGAATGTCTGCCAATTTGAACTGAGGTAACGGAATGTGAGGCAACTGGCAGTTGGAACAGCGTTCTTTTCAGGTGGGGATGGGGAGTAGAACTCCTTAGCATCAGAGTGTGTTAATTAACGTATAAGAAATACTAATGATCTGATGGTCACTTCGAAAAATCCTTTCTTAGTGAGCACCTAGAAGCCAAGAGGAACATACGTGCCAAATTTCAAGTTTGTAGGCTTTACGGTTCTGGAGATTTCATGATGAGTGAGTTGTATTTGACATTTATATATGTAGATTTAACAACCGCAATGATTCACTTAACAAATGTGGCAAGAAAAGTCGTAAAATGAGGCAAAAGTCACT